TATATATATATATGCATATAACTAATGTGAACATGGCGCTCAACTTTATCAAAAATAAAAATTAATAGTGCGTTTGTATTTCATTTGTACCTGTTTGTACCGATTATTATTTTGTATGCTTCTCAAACAGTAAAAAGAATAAGTAAATTAAAAAATGGGCAGCGCGCAACTTTAAAATTTTTTAATTTTATTTATGCCATTTGAAAGAGAATTGTTTGTACCCGTTTGTATCTCTTTTATTTTTGTTTATATAAATTCTCGTTAAATAATTCAATTCATGAATTTATATATACTATATATGTACATGTCATTCGAGACTAACAGGGAATATATAGTATATATAAATCACATTGAATTATTTAAGCATTAAAGATTCAGCTTCGACCGTTATAGACCTTCATTCTATTTCTTATTGATTGAGTTTTCACATATACGGTCTAATAAGATTATTGTTATTGTTTATATTGAAAGAATGTTGAAGACTGTTGAAAGATTGTTGAAAGACATTGTTTCCATACATGTACTGATTATTGTGAGAAATATTACATATTAATCTGGTTGTATATTATTTTTTTGAAATCCGTTTTTCGAAATTCCGATTATTATAAGAAAACACTCTTAAGAATCTCGTGATACTAAACCAGTTTGATGTACTTCGATATCTAACGTAAGAGTAAATTCTAAAAGAGATATTTTCATACAAAAATAAATATAGAAGCTATTAATGTACTAAAGGAAAAAAAATGTATTATATTAATTATGTTACATTATCAAAAAAAAATAGATATAACATAGCAATTCACAATGTTTACGTTTTGTTGTTACAACGCGGATAAAATCTACGAAAATTTTCTAAAATAACAATGTCATTAATACCATTAGAGTGTAAATTTAAAAAATAATAACTATGTATATATATATATATATATATAAATTGGATGGCTTTTTAGGAATATATCGTTCTATGACATCGTAAGTTTACATATTATCATAATTCATGTATATCATGAAATATTTTATATCATATTATTTTACATATCTTTTGATACACGTTATGTACATAAAAAAAAACGGAGTTCTACATAAGACAAAATAATATTTTCTTTAAAAACAGTTTAAAATGTAAAAGATAATGTGAATAAATATATATAATATTAATAAATATGCTGCTATTTTTTAAAATAATAATTTTTTCACATTAATATTATCCTTAAAATTGTTTTTAAAAAGAATTACTATATTAAAAAATTTTTTATTCTCTGTGCTATATTTATCAATCGTAATTTTTTATCTTGGTAACTTTCTAAAACATTTGAGATATTTTGAGTCCCAAGAGGCATGATATGCATTTTTTTATTTGTTTGGTATATGATTTCTTTGTTTCTTTTTCAACGATATTATTGCAGCAACGATACTGTTTATATGCGCACGTGACATTGCCATCTCATGTCTCAGCACGGCCATATGCTGATACACATTTCATGTGATATCTTTGTAACCATAATTTGCTGACAATGACTTAAGAGAGGATAAGTGCGGATATTTACACGACTATTTTTGAACGGGAAAGAGAAAATAGAAAGATAATAGATATCTTTGAGAAAATATACTCAAACATTCTTAAAGGATAAACATTTTATTTTGTAAAATTATACTTCAAAATTTTACGATTAATATAAAACAGAGATGAAGTTTGAATACTTTTAAAAATATTTTTTACGAGACACATTTTCCTAATCACTATAATATAAGTGTTAGAAAATTAATGTAAATTAGTAATTTTTGTATTTTGAAATATTTTCACGATAATGAAGTACTTCTAAGTGAAAATAAATTAAATTAAGATAAATGTGGCATATACTTTGTTTATTCTTTTTTTTACCGATAATTCTTAATCTATAAAGATCATAAATTTTCAACACAAAGTTTGATTCCTGTTTGAAGAGTCCAATTTGATCGAGATTCATTATTTTAAACGAATTCTAGTTTTTCGTTATCTATCGTACTAATTTATCTACTGATAAAAAAAAATATTACAATCATCAGATTGCTTATTCATCATATGCATCAAGTACAAAAAAATTATCGAGAGAGAGAGAGAGAGAGAGAGAGAGAGAGAGAGCTTAATTACATGTTGTAAAGTACTTTCGTGTTTTATTTTCAGCTATGATATATTTACATTCTTATAAATATGTAAATTTATATCTCTCAACCAGCAGATCATCTATATCACTACAATTCTTTATCATTACAATTCTTCTTTTGCACTGCAACAGCAATATAACAAGACGTAACAATTAACACTTCCGATATATTAAAAGATTATGAAAGCGATCGTCGTATTTAAAAAGTTCAAAAGTTTATCAAATAACGATGTAATCATTGATGACTAAGGATATTATTGATACTGAATATTCGTTTTTAACACTGAGTTTTTTAGTATTTGATATTTTATTTCTGCAGCTATAATTGTAGCTTTAATTTTATCTGCTTAAAATTAATATCGTTTCAACTAAGGTACCTGAGCCAAATATAAATAAGTTATTATACTTATTGCAATGTACACTCATAACACAATATTTTCAGCTCCAATACAGAGCATACTAATAGAGGCAAGCTTGCGATACATGTTACTGCAGGATTCACAAAAATTCTTCATATCTTTCAAAAAACATTTTAAATACTTTAAAATATAAAATATTATCTTTTATATCGTATACATTAATGATTTAACATGAAAAAAAACTTTTTCTTATTTGTGCTAGTTTTCTTTATGGCTTATTTAAATATAAAAGCATAATAATAAAAACAGTTACCTTATGTAACAACATGCATATCAGAGAAAAATATTTCTTTGGATTTAATAAATTATTTGAAATAGTCCAAACAAACCATATTTGAATCAAATACGATTGTTGAAATTTGAAAACAAATTTGTATATCTTTGTCTTAAATACATTATTTGTTTGAACAGACAATGTTTATCTTCGGTATTGACGCGATCAAACTGTACGTCACAATCATAATTGATATAGCACCTAGCACTGCTCGTTTAATCTCGAATTTAATCTTATTGTTAGACGTATAAATCATCGTTTCCGTAATTTCGCCAAAAAATGTAATGGTTGTTCTAAGAAAGCAATTATTGCATGGGACAACCTTATCAATATATTTTCAAATATATAATTTCATTATTATTCATGTATTTCATTGTATTCATTGTAATCAAATAATATATTATTTGGTTGAAAGATATTACTTCAAATAATAATGTTATTTCTGTCAAATAATAGAGGTTTTTCTCGAATAAAACAACAAAATTTTTATTCAAACAAATAATGTTAAGCATTATATGTTATTTTAATAAAACAAATTTTAATCAAATAAATAGGAATATAAATAGGAATATTAAATCCAAAGAAACCTTTTTTTCTGTATATACATTAAAAAAGAGGAAACCAAACTCAAACTCGGCCAGTCGCGAAAAAGTTGAGCTCGATTTAAAGCTTCACTAAATTGCTTTAAGGTATCTTTTCATGCTGACACTCGACAATCATTATTAGCGTTAAAACAAATCATGTGATCAAGAATGATGAATGTCAAGCGCAAAGGTCTGTACTCCGGCCTTTAATTTTCATTCAAAGAATGACATTAAAGATTATAAATGATATCGCAAATATATAGAAAAACCATAAGGATAAATCGCTAATCAGAATTGTATACACCAATGTCTATAATAATGTTCAGTAATGTCCATTTTTTATGGCTACTATAAATTCCTTATTAATACTCATTAATGCACTAGTAATGCTCTAGAATGCATAACCTCATATCGTTTATTATACAATTTTCTTAAGTTATATCTCCCATCTGTACACCGCAATGCCCTCAGCAGTTTACTCCCTGAGAAAAACTAATCGCAGCGCTGCATGGGTCATTGATGATTCATGGTATAAACCCTTAATAACTAAGTGAATCTCTCCGATTTAAATAAGCTTTTAGTATGTTGTTCTATGGATAAAAATAGGAGACATTTATTTTTTTATACGTGCTGAGTCACACGTTAAGGAGATGAAATCCTCCTTAAAAAAAAAATTGATTTTTTTTCTTTCAGATTGAATATCATCGAAACTGTTAGAGATAGAAAAAAATTTTCAGAGTAAAAATTAAATGGCTTCAAGAGTACTTTAAAACTACAATAAAAAAATTTTTTCTTTATAAATAAATAATTTTTATTATAAATAAATAATTTTAAAAAATCTTTTTTTATTATAGTTCTAAAGTACTCTTGAAGCCATTCAATTTTTATTTAAAAATTTTTTATCTATCTTTTACAGTTTCGACGATATTCTTCGATATTCGACGATAACTTGGAAGAAAAAAACCGATTTTTTTCAAAAGAAGATTTGTCTTCCTTAACGTGCAATTCGGCATGTATAAAAAAATACATGTTTCCTATTTTTGTCCATAGAACAACATACTAAAAACTCATTTAAATTGGAGAGATTTACTTGGTTGTGTTCCCTTGTAAGTAGCGCACTATATTTAATCAGTGAGATCATGAATAAAAATATAAGATGTTTTATATATTACATATATGAAATACGGCTGAATATAATTTTAACAAATTTCTTATTAGTGGTAAATTTCTAATGGTGGCTCAATATTGATTTATAACATTTTGGGCTAATTTTCTGATCATTGGTCATCGTAGGATTTATTTGCAAGGAAACAAAATCGTTTTAATACGTGTTGCACCGACGAATGCAGTAACGCACACACGTGCGCGACCTAATCCCTGACCTGATGATAATTAAACAATGTTACGCGCATTATCGACTATGAATAACAAATAATAGCGATAATATTTTCCATTCGAACGATCCCTGACACATTAAATCTTCCGCGACATTTGAGACAAAAATCAATTTATATAATTTGGTATCTCTTTGCTCATCCGAGTTTATTAACGAAATTCTGTATAAATAATATAAATACTAAATAGATAAACAAGGAATATGACATAAAACATGATTGCACTATCATGTTTTTTTTTATGTGTATAGTATATATTATACTTTTCTTTTTGTGTCGTGTTACTTTTGTGTTCAATTTATATATTTTTATGTTAATTTATTTATATATTTGTAATCAATTTATATATTTTTATGTTAATTTACTTTTATCAATTTATTTTATTTTATATTTTTCTTATATCTAATTTTTTTATATCTTTATTATCTCTGCTTTATCCCATTTAATTAAAGAGCACAGACTTTTGCATGAGGTCCTAAAGAAAGTTTAAATTTTTACATTTTCTATTTGCGGTAATGCATAAAGCATAAAAAAATCAATCAATCCGAGTCCTTTATTTATTTATGGAAAATAAACAATAAGAGGACAATATTCTTTGGAAGATTAAAAAAATCGATATTTTTTTACATTTTATGGAAATACATATTTATAAGAATCTTTTCTTGAATTTTTATTGAATAATTCGGAAAAATACGGACGTTACAACCTCCTATTCGAAGCGACGCGCTTCGAGGTCCTCTCGGCCTCTCACAGGATCTCCCTAAGCTTGAATACAATAACTGTTGTAACGGTCTTGAAAATCAGATAGCTACAGGTTTTTGAATATTGAATTGTAACACGCATTAACGTTTTATATAGTCGTGTATGTATATGTTTATATGTAGAGAGGGAGGGGGGATCACAAGGTCATCAAAATAATAATAAGAATTTCAATGCAACGATTTGGCGTTTGGCATCGAAGCATCCTTACTGTGGCTTCGGGCGTTGAAACATTTATCTGCTTTTTTAGAGCATGCAACGCGAACAAACTTCGGTTAAAATTTTGCTATAAATGCTTTGAAGCGTTTTAAGGCTTTTCTCTATATGTTAGGGATGATTGTTATTTTAATAATTCTTGAAATTTAATCGAGACACCACCTAAAATGGTTCAATATTTCAAAAAAATAACGCCAGATTTTTTTCAGATTTTTTAAACAATTTTAACCTGTGCCAGGTAGACGGAAAAATACCATTGTGCACAAAATTCGGCCGACGCTCTAATTTTTAATCAATTAAAAATTGCCGATCCAATATTCATTATCGTATAATTTTGATTTTTTTTCTGCTCACTTCATTGGATCGACAATTTTTATTTTAGATCGTAATCACAATTTATGCAAAATGAGCTTATATATCATTCAAAGCAAATTTAAAAAAATTCTAAAATTGGTTAAGAATTAGAGCGTCGGCTGAATTTTATCTGCAAAAGTGTTTTTTCGCCTATTCATGCTCCGATGACACGGATTAAAATTGTTCCAAAAATCTGAAAAAATCTGGTGTTATTTTTTTGAAATATTGAATTACTTTATGCGTGTTCCGGTTAAATTTCAAAAATTGTTAAAATACAACCATCCTAGTATATGTACTTAGTATTTATATGTACTTTATATTACTCTTACTTATATTACTAAAGTATTTATATAATAAAAAATCACAAATTTAATAATATAGCTCAAAATATAGATATTATTTAAAACGTTAAAAAAAATCCTATTCAATCCGAATGCATTTTTATTCATTTATAAGAATTGCATGAAGCACATTTCTATGCCTTTCGATCTAAAAATAATATCTGCTTTTTCTGTGCATTGTGTATACTGCTCAATTGAAAATGTTGAATGCAGGAAATGCAGTTTTTCAATCCAATTGAATGTAATTGAAAAAAATTTTTTTTAATTCAATATAGTGTAAATTCAATTTCGAAAGTATCTATGCAAATGTTAAATTAATATGCAATGATATATCTCTGACATAAATACATACATTCTAATCTTTTGTCTCTATTGTTCGAGTATCATTCAGTTCGAAGACTCGACAATAGAAAAAACGAATCGAGACGTACTTATGTCAAAGATGTATCACTGCATATTAATATATCACTGTATTAATTTATGCCAGAGATATAGGCTGCGTTTGACATTGACGCTTACGCGTTCATTCTATCTTTTTCACTCATTATTCATAAAAAGAAGACAGAATAAAGCTTACAGCATGTGAGCGCCGAATGCAGCCCTAATCACTGCGTATCGATATTTTCGAACATCAATTGGATTCAATGGATTTAAAATACCACAAAAATTTCAATCTATTTTACTTCATAATCCGTAATCTCGATTACGGGTAATCTACAATATGCTTTTTGTTTTCTATTTCTTACTTTTTACTACTTTTTACTTTTGCCTTTTACCCAGCTTTTTGTTTTCTGTCATTTAAAATAAAAGTGAACTTCGGAAGAGAGAAAAAACACTCTTGGTAGATTTCCCTTAAATTTGAGAATTGATTTTATCATCTCCTTCTCCTTTTCTTTAGCACTTGTCAAGTGAATAATAATGATGATTTCGGTCAGCAATCAAATAATGAATCGATTCAAAAATGTATTTCAAACAGCGAGAATAATGCCGCAATAGTCTCCCCAAAAATGTCCCCCCAAACACTGGACGCTTGTGCCTGTAGTTACGCACAACGCATCCAAGACAAGTGATCCTAACTTTGTTAGAAACTATAGATCTATTTTTTATTGTTGCATTTTGAACCGATGCAATAAGTTGAAGATGATTTTTTTAAAAAAGATAAAAAAGATTTTTTTTTATCTTATTAGAGAACCGTTTGGAATAAAGCAATGTAATTTTGAGACAATGTGGTATAAAGTTAAAGCAATTTGAAATAATTTAAAAAATTATAATTTTCTCAAAAAATAAGAGCATAAACTTCATACTCTTGAACTTCTTGCGATTTATCTTTCCTCTTTTTCTTTTCATTGAAGAGAAACAAAAAAAAAGACAAATTCTGCATGAAGTTCGGCTCTAAAAAAAAATATGTTTATTGCATAAGCCATCTTTTACGTCGCCTACATCCTGACACAAATGACTTTAGGATTTTTAAAGGCCTAATTGCACCAACATTATTTTGATTTTAAGCAATGTTTAAAACTCTCTCTATCTCTGTCTCTCTTTCGCTTTAAAACGAGACAGAGAGAGTCTTGCTTAAAGTTAAAGTAACGTTGATGCAACTAACACGAGCCTAAAATATATATAATATACCTATGTATAATTGGTCCAATTGGTCGCTCGAAATTGTTCTATCAGATTCTCCATGATTTTCTTCTTATTAAGAGAAGTAGTTTACTAAATTAATAATAAAATGACATCTTTTCAATTTTATACAGGTACGATGATCCCCAAATCAGGCGGCGATTATGCATACATTAGCGATGCTTTCGGACCTTTGCCAGCGTTCCTCTACCTTTGGGTCGCCTTGTTCGTCTTGGTGCCAACAGGGAACGCAATCACGGCCCTCACGTTCGCACAATACATACTGCAACCTGTATGGCCTGGATGCGAGCCGCCGTATGCAGCGATTCGATTACTCGCTGCTGTGATCACATGTAAAATGAATAAATTTTTTTCATTTTATTTTGATAATTTATAGAAAAAAAAAGGAAATATATAGTATGATCTAATAAAATACGATAAATGTTCAAATTTAAATTATAATTCAATAATTATACAAATAATAAAAAACCTACAACAATGTAAGTTGTATTATCTCAATATAGTTTTTTGAGGTTTTCAATACATTAATATCGTTCCGACAGCTTTCATATTCCACGAAAAAAAAATCTTTTCGAAGAATATAAAATTGCTGGAACGATGGCGGTATTGAAAACCCATACATTAAAAGATAGTATAACTCGCATTGCTATGTTCCTTTTATTTTTTGTATAATTATTGAATTATAATTTAGATTTGAACACTCCTTATGAAAATAAATTGTAAAACTTTTCAATTAATTGTAGATTTTTCAATACAATTGATTATGTGCTAAATTTCTGTCAACTTTTTCTTCTACTTTTTGTTAGCTGTTTGATATCTTTTTCAGACGTTTTTCACATCGTTATTATAAATATTGCATGATATATGTGTAAATATATATATATATATATCATAAATATCGAATTCATCAGAAATATCTTAACGTACGTGTGCAATAAGATGTAACATGAGATATAATCCAATATAGCCCGAAAATTATTCATACTCTCATCGGATTGTTTTAATATCCGCGATATGTGTACGACGAGCATATGGCAATTTCACTATTCTGTTTGTAGGTCTGTTAACCGTCATTAACTGCTATAATGTTAAATGGGCGACCAGAGTGCAGGACATCTTCACTGGTACCAAAATCTTCGCTCTGGTAATCATCATGGTAGCCGGTGTTTGGTGGCTCTGCATGGGCCACACGGAAAACTTCCAACATCCGATGTCTGGCACTAATACTCAACCCGGTTACATCGCTCTGGCAGTATATTCCGGACTGTTCTCTTATTCAGGCTGGAATTATCTCAACTTCGTGACGGAGGAGCTAAAAGATCCCTACAAGTAATTGTCATAAATGCAATTGGGATTAAACTTTCCATGACCTTTTTGTATCTTTATTGCAATTCTTTTAATTTATAATAAAAAAAGCAGCGTAATACACTGAGAAAAAATATTCTAAATGTTAATAAATATTTGTTTAAATAGTGTCTAAACTAAACATTTACTTACAGTAAATAAATATTTACTTAATAAAGAAAATGATAGTTAAATCAAATTAGTGATTCTTGTACCAAATAAATATCTTTGTATTTAGTAAATATTTACTGGGCACTATTCAAACAAATGATTTATTAAAATTTAATATTTCAGTGTACAGGTCAAATTATATTATTTATTTATTTTTGATAGAAAATAATACGCTATTAATTTATATAAAATTAATATTTAATTATCAATTCTTAAAATTTTGTCTTATATATTATTAGAAATAGATACGAATAAAATATTAATATATATTATTATATTATTGAAGCACATTTATATATTTACGACAATAACGTACGTAAAATTTTAACAGAGATTAGAAACTTTCATAATGTGATCGTTGTTTTTTTCATTTCACAGGAATCTTCCAAAGGCGATTTGTATATCACTGCCGTTGGTGACAGTGATTTATGTTTTCGCGAACATTGCCTACTTTGTCGTACTCACGCAGGATGAAATACTCGCGTCGAATGCTGTCGCTGTTGTAAGTACGCTTTTATACGTTAATAATGTTGATAACAATTATAAATACATAAAATATTAATCCATGATTGATTCGCTTCTACGTAATTGCACTCGCACGAATATTTTATTACCAAGAAAGCAATTCTTTGATTCTCTCTTTAATATGTATAAAGATAATATTATATATATAAATTTTAAAAAATAATTTTTAGGAAAGAAAAGAAATTGACGAACTTTAGTTCACACAATAATTTGCTATTAAATTGATTATAGCAATATTTTATATATTGAGCAGTAAAGAAAGAGAAATGAGCATTCAGAATATGCTAAAAGAATGATTTTGCTGAAAGATCTAAAATTTTGTTAAATAAGAACTGATTTAAACAATTAAATTAAAAGACTCTTTTAAATAACAAAAATATCAAGAATATAGAAGGGCAAATTATAATAGAATAAAATTCGAATATCGATATATGTAATAAATGTTTAAAGTTTTAACATTCTTATAAATTGATATGAAGTATAAATTTAATTTAAAAAACTTAACGTTACATTATATTATATGACATGTTTCGGCATTAACTGATGTTAAGTTTTTTAAATTAAATTTACATTTCATATCAATTTATCAGAATGTTAAAACTTTAAATGTTTATTATATATATTCGATATTCGAATTTGACTATAATTTATCCTTCTTGAATAAGAACTGCAAAATAATTTTGTTGATCTACTAATAATTTTATTGAAAATTGAAACTGATTATTAAAATATCAAAATTTTTTGCAGCATTGTTTATTATTTTTTAGTTTCCAACATAATTATTTTGATTAGCAAAATTTTTAGATTTTTCAGCACAATCATTCTTTTTGTACATGGTGGTCTCTTGCACATGCGTTACTGCGTTTCATCAAAACAAGATATTCGGTAAAAAAAAAATAGATTATACGATATCGCAAGAAGTGAAATACAGATTTATTTAATCCATTCAATACAGAAAAAAATTATGAAAAATCGCAATTGCTTTCTGCTGTGATCAAAATCTGTTCCACTTTTGCTAAGTATTAAAACAGAATTTCCTTTCTAGACCTTCGGCGATAAACTATTAGGCGTTATGTCATGGATAATGCCGTTTTTCGTGGCATGTTCGACTTTCGGAGCATTGAACGGCGCGATTTTTGCGTCGTCCAGGTTGTTCTTTGTCGGTGCCCGAAACGGACACCTCCCCACTGCCATTGCTTTAATTAATGTTCGCAACTTGACGCCGATGCCATCCCTCATCTTTCTCGTAAGTATCACACCCTCATGAAACGTAAAGAGAAAATAGTGAATAAAAAGAATTTATTATATAGAATTAATTATGAACTAATTAATTTTTTTTAAAGCTTTTTTTAGATGTTTCACATAATATCTTTATATTTTAATTTTTGCGAATAAAATTCGAATAAAATAAATAAATATCGCGAACACTTATTGCAATTTGACAATTGATCGCTTATTTTGAAAAATGACATCTTAATAGTGAACATATTTATTTGTTGTATTATTTTAATTATTAACGATGACTGAATAATTTGTAAAGAATTGTATTAGTAAATACGTTATCGTATTAGAATTTTATTAATAAATACGTTATCGTCATATAAAATAGCGTGTATGTTTGTAGTGGCATTTATTTGGCGATAATGGGATGTGACAGTGATTCATGTAGCTATAACATCATGAACACTTTAGTAATTGACATCAGGCTTAAGTTACAACGATATTGCATTTATCATGAAATTTGTTTGTTTTAATTCCAATTAATATCACATTTATTCATTTATACGATGATACCAAATCCAAATATTTTGACTATATTAGAAAAATTGTGCTATTAATTGTTAATTATACTTTATAGAAATTTTTGGCTGCAGTATTTATCTTTCGGAAATATTTTAGACTCTTTAATAAAAATATTAAAAGAAAAAATATGATACGTTTTCATGCGCGTATATATATTGCATATTTAGATCGATATTTTACTTGAGAGAAAATACCACATCTAACATAAATACATACTCAAAGAAGATAATCGATACATTTTCAGCTTTATTATACCCAACAAAAGTAATCTGCACTTTGTGTGCGATAATTCGGCCCGTCCAATTGTCGAGAATAGAATTAATTGACGTGCATAAATCGGATCTCGTGAAATTACATTAAAGCCGGCGTCTTAATGAAATAAACGAAGCCAGCCGGATCAGAGCAGGCCGGTAGACATACACAGCGGCATGCTATTATACAGTTCAACATTTTGATTTGCGGTTTGTTAATTGAGAACGATAAATTGATCCTTTCACGTCGCTCCTTGGCCCCGCGTCTCTTTGATGATTAATGGCGAAAGTTTGCTCGCGATCTTTATCCCTTTCTACGAACGAATTAAAAGAATCAATTGCGTTAACTGCGCTTAAAGTCATGCCACGCTGATGCAAACGAATAATGCAAACATGTTTATTATAAAGTATAAGATATACTTCGATATAATTAATCGCACGATGTTTAATACAGATTGTAATTAGTTCTGAGATACCAAAATTATCTTTTTAATTTTTTAACGATAGCTTTCGAAATACAAGAGATTCAGATAATCTAGATTTCCGTAAATTCTACATCTTAAAATTTCAGTTATTTAAAAAAAAATTTGTTTTTTCTTTGAACGAAATGCCAATTTTAGTTTTTGATATAAATCTAAAACCAAATGTTTTAAAGCGTTTTAATTATTACGATTCGCAATCAGTTCTAAAAGCGCTGATACGCACGCGGAGCAATTTTTCTATTCTTGTAGTCGGACTCCAATTCCGAGCGTTAAACTATAATTTCCGTTTCTAGTGCATTATCACCCTGATACTCCTCATCATAGAGGATGTCTACGTACTAATAAATTATGTCAGCTTCGTTGAGGCTCTATTTACCACACTGTCCGTGTCTGGTTTATTGTGGTTACGTTACAAAAAGCCCGATCTCCATCGTCCGATAAAGGTACGCGCAATTTTATTAGGTGTTGGAATTAATTCGTAGCGTTTTTTAATGAAAGAATGTTATTTATTTCACATGAGCATTAAAAAATACATTAATGAAAGTACTTCCCATCACTTGTAAAACGCTACGAATTAATTCCAACACCTAATATTACATTTAATTTTTAGAAAATATCATATCTATGCATCTTCCTTTTTTTTTTATTCGCAAATTTCATTCGTATATTTTATCCTCTAGGTTTCTATCATTTTGCCAATCATTTTCTTCATAATCTGCGCATTTTTGGTCACTTTTCCGTGTTATGTCTCGCCATGGGAAGTAGGTATAGGCATAATCATAATTCTATCTGGCATTCCCGTGTACTGTATATTCATCGATTGGAAAAAGAAGCCCGCTTGGCTCGTCAATGTATCCTGTAAGTATAGATAAGTTTTAGAAGCTTGTTTAAAATGAAACTGCAAGATGTTGCTTACATTTATAAAGTAAATATATAATATTATATATTTTATGTATTATTTATATAATATGCTATATACAATATGATTATATGTCATTATTACATTTTTTGTGCAGATAATTTCAACGTAGCATGCGCAAAACTATTCATGTGCGTGCAAGAAGATAGGACAGCGTGAGTGCTCAAAACTCGCAGTAATCTTTACGACAAACTCCGAACTGAGACATTCGAATTTAAGAGTGCATTTCGCACGCGTCGTACTTTTCGTAGATAGATAGAATATATAGTTCTGAATAGATACGATGTTATCGTCCTCTATCAAACAATTGCATGATTGCATAAGTATTAACGATAATGCGTGAATGACCAACACGATACTATCGT